TCGGCTCTTCAGCTTAGAAATGGAGATGAGCACCACCCCGCAGAGTCGGATGCAACTAGACTTAATGTCAAGGGGAAACTTCACCTTTACTTTACTATGTGTGAAAATGACCTTATAGTAAATAATAATAAAACTTTATTTATATACTGCTCTATCTCCCCGAGGGGGACTCAGAGCGGTTTCCAAGTAACATCACTGAAACATACAAAGGAAACAGCATAACATAAAATTAACAAAACAACATAAGCATAAAATCATCACAATAACACATGTATATTAAAAATAATCATGGATCATGTTGCTGCTTTTTTTATTTGTCATGTCAGGACAACCAGTCAAACTATATTACATTTCTAACAGAAGCAAACAAACAGACAAAATACAAAATTTGTGAGTTTGGTAGTTGATTAAATGTCCTTTGACCAGTATCTGGCCACTTGGCATGCTTCTAGTGTTGCTGCAAGAAGGTCCTCCATTGTGCATGTGGCAGGGCTCAGGTTGCATTGCAGCAGGTGGTCAGTGGTTTGCTCTTCTCCACACTCGCATGTCGAGGATTCCACTTTGTAGCCCCATTTCTGAGGTTGGCTCTGCATCTCGTGGTGCCAGAGCGCAGTCTGTTCAGCGCCTTCCAAGTCGCCCAGTCTTCTGTGTGCCCAGGGGATGAGTCTCTCATTTGGTATCAGCCATTGGTTGAGGTTCTGGGTTTGAGCCTGCCACTTTTGGACTCTCGCTTGCTGAGGTGTTCCAGCGAGTGTCTCTGTAGATCTTAGAAAACTATTTCTTGATTTAAGTCGTTGACGTGCTGGCTGATACCCAAACAAGGGATGAGCTGGAGATGTCACTCCCTTGGTCCTTTCACTATTGGCTGCTACTTCCCGGCGGATGTCAGGTGGTGCAATACCGGCTAAGCAGTGTAATTTCTCCAGTGGTGTAGGGCGCAGACACCCCGTGATAATGCGGCATGTCTCATTAAGAGCCACATCCACTGTTTTAGTGTGGTGAGATGTGTTCCACACTGGGCATACATACTCAGCAGCAGAGTAGCACAGCGCAAGGGCAGATGTCTTCACTGTATCTAGTTGTGATCCCCAGGTTGTGCCAGTCAGCTGCAATGTTGACAATATATCTAATATTATGCAATGGTATAGGGTACTATGCATGTCAGTATAAGGTTGCGATTGATTACTGTTCACAATGGTTATGCATTTTATCTACCTATCTATCTATCTATCTATCTATCTATCTATCTATCTATCTATATGTATCTATATATCTATATCTATCTATCTATCTATCTATCTATCTATCTATCTATCTATCTATCTATCTATCTATCTATCTATCTATATGTATATATGGAAAGGTAAAAAGGCTGGACTTATTCTGCTTGGAGAAGACTTTGAGTGACATGACTGCTCTCTTTATATATCAAGGCCGCCAAAGAGGAGGGGCAGGTTTGTTCTCCAGTTTCCTAAGGAGTAGGACCAGTTATAATAGTTTTCAGTAGAGTCGACTGTGATGGGACCTCTCGACAGTAAAAGCGGTTTGGGAATTGAACCAATTGCTTAGGAAGGTGTTATGGTCTCCGTCTCTGGATCATCATTGAGGGATCATAGGAACTGTTGTCCAATAAACCACTTTCTAAGTCCTGGGTCGGATCCCTTGGGGTGAAACATAATTAAGTACCAGCTTGTTCAGTTTCTTTCCGACAGAGTAAACAATGAGAGTAATACAGCAACACTGCCCCCTTCTGTGCTGCTCTCTTCTGGTGCAGGAGTTTTTTGCAGACAGAAACGGGTGGCTCCTGAGAGGCCCAGGAAAACCAAAGGGATCATACTGTGAGGAAATAAATATGTGCAAATAAATTATAGCCATATGTAATTTTTCCTCACCATGGACTTTAGCAGTGAACAGACTTTTTATGAAAAAGGTGGCAGCCAAATAATACAAAAGCGATAATTTGCAACACAGGCCCCTTCCACACAGCTGAATAAAATCCCTCTTTATCTACTTTGATTTGGGTTATATGGTAGTGTGGACTCAGATAACTCATTTCACAGCAGGTCTTGCGGGATTTTTCTGCCTTGGTATTCAGAGATGTAAGGCTGTGTGGAAGGGCCCATAGTGATTTGTAATCTAAAGCTGTGTTGTCATAATTTATTTTATTTCCCATTCTTCACAGGAGAAAGAACTGGAAAATCTGGCTGCGATGGATTTGGAGCTCCAGAAGATAGCGGAGAAATTCAACAGTAACCGGCGGGGATAAAATTTTCCTGGCCTAATCTAGGAAATGGTGAAATCTGGCTTTATTTACAGTATCCTTTCTCTATTGGTCAAATCACTGCCATGAGTGTTGTTTTCTCCCCTCCTTAACCAGGAATGCAGTTTACTAACCACAAAAAGTGTGATTTACATGAGTGCAAGAGAGCATCTTGATATTCCCAATATGCTAGGGAGATCTGAGCAGCATGAATTCTAGTGTATAGACTTCTGTGCAAGACATTTTTAAGTGTGTGTGGAAACAATTGTCTTTGTGTTCTTCAAAAATATATTCTTTGTTAGAAATAATAAAACCACATTGTCCACAACATCCACACATTTGCCTCCTCTGTTAAGTCTTAAAGTGATTTATAATGTTGTGGTGGTCAGATGGAACAAAAGGCAAATCACAGCTCTATGTTGAAGGCATGGGAGCCAATGGGATGGATCGGGAATGGGAGGCCAACCTGTGCTCAAGCGCTCTTCACTGGTTCTATTTCAAGCCTTTTTAGACTTCCTTCCAAAGCTCACTGTGCCAGAATTCTGGAAGAGAATGGGCTATACAAATAAAAACAAAAGGAAAAATGTGGAAATGACAAGTTTAGAAAAGACCGAGTCCAGCCTTGATTAATACATGGATGAGGGGACCACCAATTAATGCCATAGGCTATACAGTAGGCCCTCTATGTTGGCTGAGGTTAGGGGTGCAAGACCCCCAGAAAGTAAAAAGAACCCCCCCCCCTATTTTTGAAAACCTAAGAGAACACCTCTCTGAGAATCTCTGAATCTTCCAATGTGACTCCTCCAGCAGAAGTTAACCCTAGAGTCCCACCGGAGGACCTAACGAACCCTTGAGAGAATAAATGTATTAATCAAACCTGCAAATAATCAAGTCTGCAAAAGTTAAACCCACAAATGTCTGCTTTGAACTGGGTTGAGGATGGAACTGTCAAAACCACCTCTGAGTACTCCTTACCTAAGAAAACCCTAAGAAATGCATGGGGGTCCACCATAAGCCAGGTGAGTTGAAAGCACATATACACAAATGTCTCCTGATATTTCATATCGAGATATGAAAGAGCAAAGAATGGAAGTTAGAGCTTCCAACGCACAATATTTGTGTTCACCTTGAGGCATTTCTAAGATCTGTAATGAGCTGGACATTAGTTGCAGGCAATCTCAGTAAAGCAGAACTGACCAGATACCCGTGAAAACACAATTTCATGTACTTCATATCCTTGAAGACCTTGGAAAATACACAAAGGTGTCTACTGCCAATAATGAGGAATGCAATGGTACTTTCATGTTCCATCTTGACAAAATAAGAAATGATAGGAGGAATAGCCCCTTTTGAGGAATGTTGGATCTGTAAAGATTTTCTGGGGGGGGGGGGGGTGATACAGGGGGTATGGAGGAATTGAGTTCTTGTTCTTTTGAAATCACATTGTAGGAAGTCTCCGTTATTTATGCAAAGGAAAACTACATTGAGTCTTCTCCTTCTTTTGGAATTGGTATAATTGCTGCTTTCCTGACCAGGATCAACTGAGTTGAATGGAGTAATTTCTAACTTGGCTGATGGGAAGGGCCAAAAGGTTGGGGAAAAGGGCAAACTTCCTTTCTCTTCCAATGATCAAAGCGCTGCTACTGTTCTGCACAATTTTCATTAAGATGGCAGCTTGCACGATTATATGAACAGGCTGAATTATTTGTTCTAGAGTAAGCACATTCAAATCCAGGGAGCAGAGTGAGCTCCCACTTTCAGCCACAGCTTTTGCCAACCTAGCAGTTCGAAAACATGCAAATGTGAGTAGATTTATAGGTTGCTTATTTGTAACCATAGTTTCCCGAGTAGTCACCTGTGAATACGCACATATGGATAAAGATAAAGAGGATAAAGAGGACTGGTGGCTAGCCCCGCCCATGGGCTATATATGCTCGAGGGGGGTGAGCGGGGCTAGCCGGGGACTAAAATGTCTATTTTATCTTCTAGAAGGTTCCGAAAGCTGTACTGCGCAGGCGCAGAGATACCATATGTGCTTATTCACAGTTGACTACAACAGGAAACAATAGATACCGCTCAGGTAGGAAGGTAACGGCACTCCATGCAGTCATGCTGGCCATTTGACCTTGGAGGCATCGATGGACAATGCCGGCTCATCAACTTAGAAATGGGAATAAGCACCAACCCTCTGAGTTGGACATGACTAGACTTAATGTCAAGGGGAAACCTTTACCTTTACTTTAAGCACATCCTATTCCAATGGCGGATTTGTGACAGAGGCAATAGAGACAATAGCAATAGGTCAAATCATGACTGATGTGCTGACCAAGAACTCTTATCAATGTAGCACTACAGTACTAGCTCTGTTTTGTCTGCTATTGTTTTAGGAAATCAGTCTTGCATAGGCAATACGGGTGGATTGCTCTGGAGATCCAAAAGCAAACCATTGGGTTCACAGTTCAGATATTCAAAACTATCTTAAGAGGTAAAATGAAGGCATTAGCATCCAAGATAGCACTTTTCTGGGAGAAAATCTTAATACAGATAAAAATATTGTTATCGTATACATGGGCAGTACGCACAGTTCTTGAAACAATACATCAGTGACATTTCTAGTTTATAGACAGTATAAAAATAAAGCAAATATGTTTTTAAAATTATTTTTCTATTCTTTCTCACTCACTCCATGGAGTCCAAACTGTTTTTCAGTTTCCACAATAATACACTCAGAAGGGAAAACTCTTGTATTACAAAAGTAATATAATTTATTGAAATATAGTTTTACAGGACATAAAATTCTACAAAACAAAAGGTGTATCGTTAAAAAAAGATGAAAGCCAGCTTTTTTTTTTTGTAAAAAATGGTAACATGTGTAAATGGATTCTAAAATTCACCCTTGATGTTCCTTAGTTCTTGTGTTCAGGAGGAGCATCCACAGTCCTGTTTCCCTCAGATAGCAATGTTATGACATGGTATTACAACATCAGTTTTAAAGGGCGCAATAACAGTTTCAAGTCTGAGCCAAAACATGACCGACCACTGCAACCAAAGGAAAACTGCAGTAAAATGAGAGACGAAGTGCTATAAGAAACATGGGATGAGAATTCAGGAAGCACAGGAAGAGAGTAGACTGGAGATTCAGTCAATTTTGGCAATATCTCTAGGAAAAGGTGATTCTTAAAGAGTGATGTCATGAAATCATTCAACAGGTGAACAAATACAATTCTGAAACTATGTCCCTGTGGGGACTGGGCTGGTTCTTCAGTCTCCTCTTCCCTGATAATGTCCTGCAGAAGGCGGCTCTTCCTGATAGTAGCTGGAGGGAAAAATACAACGCAACACAATACGTAGCAATATGACACAAGGATAATTTGTGTCCTATGAAGAACAGCTTCTTCAATCATCAATGGTGTTCTTCAAGTTTACGCTTTTTAGATGTTGGCTCACCGGCTGCCTGGTCTGTTTCCCCATCATTTTTTACAACCTCATTTGTAACAGTGATACCTGTTAATAGGTACCCACCGCCACCACTCATCATCAGTTTGGGATGGCTTCGGTCTGGCAAAACCTACCAATAACAAGAGAGGCACACGTTACTATAGTAGAATACTTTAAGCAGCACCAGTTGTGTAATCACAATAGGTGGTTGTGGTTCAGAATTCCAAAGGTCAGGATGAATATCCCTTATCTGAAACACTTGGAACCTGTAATGTTTTGGATTTCAGATTTTGAAATATCTACATCTGCATATACATACACAATTGAATTATTTTGGAGATGCGAGCCAAGTCTAAACACAACATTCATTTATGTTTCACATATGTCTCATAAACACAGCCTGAAGGAAATTTTATACAGAATATTTATAATAATTTTGTCCATGAAGCCAAGTTTACATACACTTAACCACTCGAAAGCAATGGTGTCACTATCTCAGCTACCCAAGTAGACAATTTTGGGTTATTTAGTATTTTGGAATTCCGGATATGGGCTGCTAAACTTGCATAGTAGTATTATACAGTTTAACATGTAAAAAACCAGCCATTAAAGCAAAAAGAAAAAGAGATTGGTCACAGTTTCAGGACATCAGAGAAACATTCTCACTACTTAGATGTTTATAACAGTTGGATACCTAACTCTACATCACCCAGGTGAAGCATTAAAACATGTAATACCGTAATTTCTGTTCTCATTGGGATGGGGAATCTTTGATGGGCCTGATGTTTTGGGTCAACTTTCAACAGAACAATGTTGCTAATACTCAGGAATTGTAGGGTTATAGTTCAAACACCGAAGCCTCGAGCAGAGGTCCCACCTCTGTATTCCTTGGACACTGACTCTAAGATTCCTGAGATCCATTTTAATTGGCAAGGTAAAGTATGAACCTCTGCCTCTCTTATTATTATAGAATCGTAGAGTTGGAAGAGGCTTCGTGGGCCATCCAGTCCAACCTGGATGGAGGAAAACTGTATTCAAAGCACCCCTTACAGATGGCCATCCAGCGTCTGCTTAAAAGCTCCAAAGAAGGAGGCTCCACCACACTCTGGGGCAGAGTTCCACTGCTGAACAGCTCTCACAGTCAGGAAGTTCTTCCTAATGTCCATATGGAATTTCCTTCCCTGTAGTTTGAATTAAAGGAAGGAAGGAAGGAAGGAAGGAAGGAAGGAAGGAAGGAAGGAAGGAAGGAAGGAAGGAAGGAAGGAAGGGGAGAAGGGTATGATGGAAAGCAAGGGAAGAAAGAAAGAAAGAAAGAAAGAAAGAAAGAAAGAAAGAAAGAAAGAAAGAAAGAAAGAAAGAAACGAAGGAATGAAGGAAGAAAAAAGAAGGCGAAGGTGTATGGGGGAAATCAAGGAAAGAAGACTAACTGCACAATTATCCCCAATTCTATTGTGCTATTTCCTCCATCTTAATCATACAGTACAGCTCTGTTAATATTTTTTCATCTGCCACCAAAAGGAACTGGTGAACGGTTGAGAATGACCACATGTTTCTTCTCACTGAAAAAGTAGTACCTAACATTTCCGATTCTCACCTGATAGCTCCGTAACCATGTCTCTGAAAGTTTAAGATTAATGACTCCTCCTTTCTCTCTCAGCTTCGTGTAGCACTCCACTAATGGCTGAGAAGAGAAGAGAGACTGAAATTACTAAATGAGCTTCATTGAAACATGTAGAAAAAGAACCAAAAGAAAATGTATCTCATTCACCTCTTTATGCTGGCAGTAAACAACAAAAGGCCTTGAAGGAGCAACAAATTCTAGTAACGATAGTAGTAAGGGCACTGGATGAAATCGACTGGCTATGATCAGACTGCAAGAGAAAGTTGTGCAGAGATTAGCTATGTTTCCCAACATATCAAAACTATAAATTTAGATTTGTAAAGAGAAAGATGAAGCCATTAAGGAATATTGTGTAGGAAAAAACAATGCCCCCCCCCCCCATTCAGCATTTAACAATATAATAAGGATTTCACATTTGAAAGACAGATATAAACACTGGAAACTACAGGCAGTCCCCAAGTTACAAACATCTGACTTACAAACRATTCGTAGTTAAAAACAGATGTGAGACAACAGCAAGTGAGAGAAATCATTCCTCGGAAGGGAAATTCACTCTTGGAAGAGTTATTATCATGGAGAAAAGTATCTCCACTGAATCTTTCTCACCAATTCTTGTTTCTACAAGAAGCCACATTTTTCAAAATATAATTATCACAAGGACAGAAAATGAGGTGAAATATTCTGAACAAGGGAACAGATAGTGAAATAAACACCACAGGGGTGTTAACCCTTCCCTATGCTATCCACAGCTAAAAAGATATAATTTTGGCTGGAGTTACACTTCACAAATGTACCCGTTTCAAGTTACAAAGAAATTCAGCTTAAGAACAAACCTATACATAACTTGGGGACTGCTTGTACTGAATGATTGAGGTGAAAAGTGTTTCTATGGTGATTTTTTTCTTTCTTACTTCTCCTTATCCTTTCTGATCCTAATTATCCACTCCTTACCCAACATATTATGGGTACTGATTGTCAAGAGCAGAGCTTTCCAAATGGTGTGTCACAAGATGTTAATATGTTGGCTGCAGTGTGTAGGAGTGTCATACGAACATAACAAAAACCTCTTAGTCTATGTAAAATAAGCAATAAATCATATATTTTTGAAAGTACAAATGAAAGGTTTTTATGAAATATCTTGTGTCCTCATACATTTCATGACTACAATTTATGTATGTGTCCATATCTTTTACATGGGGTTGGTTTAACGGCCAAGATGGTAGTAAACATGAGTTACAATGTCGTGAAATGATGGATGTATAAAAAGTGTGTCATCGAGATGAAAAGTTTGGAAAACTCTGGTCTAGAGATAGTACTGGAGAACAGGGCATGAAGAGATTGGACGGAAATTAACACTATGTAACACAATTTTTGTTCCTTGGCTATAAATGTCATTTCCTAATTGGTTCTATCATAAAAACATGGAAAAAGTTTATTAAACTGCAAAAACTTTGTCTTGGTGGGACATCCTGCAGCACATTATTTTACAGTTTTTCAATGATCATCTCAACCAATTCAACATAGTTTGCGGCAGCCACAAAAACAAAGTTTCTGAAGTATAACTACTACTTTCAAAGTAAGTACAACACAATTAAACAGGAAATAACACTTTCAAACCAGGAACAGAAAATATTTCAAAATTTGTTACAAAGTGAATGGAGAAAAACAACTATGCTAAGAAGGGAACAAAAACCATTATAAAAGGATGACAGAGCCAAAGCAGTGAGGTTACCACGTTGAACCATTCAGGCAGAATAGGAGACTTAAGACTTGACTAATTCTGGATGGTAATGTACAATTTTTAGATTAGATATAGGATATTTCTTGCAAGCAGTATTATGTAAACCAGACTCACCCATCAGCATTTTTGTCCTTCAACAAAGCAGCAGTTTCTACAAACTTTTTTCTTTTCTCCTCTTGTTTCTTTTCTTTGTCATGCGCCTGGGAAAAACATTTTTAAGAGGCTGAATGACAGATATAGCTTTCTAAACAAATCCTTTTATGTACAACTTTGAAAAATTATATGACAGACCAGGACTGGAAATTTTTAGCCTTCCAGATATTCTTGAGCCAAGGGTCCCAGCATTTCTCACCAATGGTGTTGCTGGGAGACACAGTCCAATAACATCTGAGTGGTCACACGATTTCCAGCCCACAAATAATTTGTAGGAGGAACTGACTTCAATTTCCACCCAATATCCATTGAAAGAATTGATCACACATAAAATAGAATTATGAAAGATAAGTTGTCTTCCAGTGTTTTTCGCTGAACTATAAGTTGTGTTAAATTAGGCCTGTTTCCTAAACTTTAATACTGATGAAGTTTAGTTATTCAGTGGCATCAAATGCACTAAGGCAGTGTTTCTCAACCTTCCTAATGCCGTGACCCCTTAATACAGTTTCTCATGTTGTGATGACCCCCAACCATAACACTGTTTTCATTGCTACTTCATAATTGTAATTTTGTTACTGTTATGAATTGTAATGTAAATATCTGATATACAGGATGTATTTTTACTCACTGGACACAATTTGGTACAAATACCCAATACGCCAAAATCTGAATATTGGTAGGATTGGGAGGTGGGCATTTGATTTTGTCATTTGGGAGTTGTAGTTGCTGGGATTTATAGTTCACCTATTCTGAACTCCACCAACAATAAAATTGAACCAAACTTGGCACACAGAACTCCCATGACTAACAGAAAATACTGGAAGAGTTTGGTGGGCATTGGTCTTGAATTTTGGTGTTGAAGATCACCTACATCCAAAGAGCACTGTGGACTCAAAACAATGATGGATCTGGACCAAACTTGGCATGAATACTCAATATGCTCAAATTTGAACACAGGTGGAGTTTGGGGAAAATAGACCCTTAAATTTGGGAATTGTAGTTACGGGGATTTACAATCAAAGAGCATTCTGAACCCCACCAACGACAAAATTGGGCCAAACTTCCCACACAGACCCCCATGATCAACGGAAAATACTGTGTTTTCTGATGGTCTTTGGTGACCCCTTTGACACCCACTCATGAGCCCCCCCCGGGGTCCTGACCCCCAGGTTGAGAAACGCTGCACTAAGGCAAGATTTCTTATGCTCTTATCCTGAAGTCAATCGCATTAGTCTACAAAAAAGAAGTTGATGAATTTAACTTGCGGATAACTTCAAGTCAGCAGGAACAACAAGCATTCAGTGGCACCTTCTATTATACCAATGGTTCTCAACCTGGGGTCCCCAGATGTTTTTGGCCTTCAACTCCCAGAAACCCTAACGGTTGGTAAATTGGTTGGGATTTCTGGGAGTTGTAGGCCAAAAACATCTGGAGACCCCAGGTTGAGAACCACTGTATTATACTAATGTTGAGAATAAATCTTGGCAAATGGGGGGGTAAACACTTGCAAGTGTGAACCGGTCTTCAGAATGTCATTAGACAGCTTTAAATTCTTGTAAAAAGGTACACTTAACTTCAAGTATAAACATGGTGGTGTACCCATTCAACTAGCTACGGAAGCTACAAACGGCAACCAAGTAATACCATGAAGTTTCAAAACTGAAGGTGGGATATCAAATCTTGTAAATACATAAACAAAAACAACATTTGGCTCATTCCTTAAGTTTCCTTGAGTTAGTCAATAGAACCTTACTGTTCCCTTTGCTTTATTATTGTCAAATGCTTCACCCTCAGTTGGGAGGTCCACCGCTTCTTGTTCTTCTGGCTGATTGCTCTCCATCACGGCACTGCTTTCCATATCTACATCTTGTGTAGGCTGCTGTTTCTCGTCGCTTGACCCATTGCTGTCTTCTGCTAAAGCCATACTATCTTCGGACTCGGAGGGCAGTGCCTTTAAAGAAAATGTCCCAGAGAGAACACTGTCCACTTTGCTGAGCGGGAACTCATAAAGCATCTGGAAAAAGGAGTCTGGGAATCCAAAGCAGTTCGTGGCGGCTCTGACAGGTCCTCCCCCAGGATACATATTAATAATGGATCCATAGCCTGCAAACATCCACCAAAGTTAGCATAATAAGTATTAGAACTCACAAAGCTGCATTGTGATAGACTTTCTCACATTAGTAGGTTCAGTGAAGAACTGCCATTGTTTCCCTTCCATTCTTTGTTCCCATTTAGGAGCACCTTAAATTGGTTGTTGGCCAAAACAGAATGTAGAATTGGAGAAATAAACAACTGTTTCCCAATGGCTTCCTATATGTTTATCTTTTCTATAGCTTTACATTATATTGAATAATCTGTTTTTGGTGAAAATGCTATTCCACTATGCATTCCTTTAAAAAAGGGCAATGAAAGATTGTATCTTTAAAGCTATACTCTACCATAAAAATATCAATGTTTTAGTGTTTCCAAAAATGTTTCATTCCAAAAGTTCTATGTTTCAGTTGTTCTTTTTTGAAAAACGGCATTCATAATCTTTTGGAGATCATATTATTATTATTATTATTATTATTATTAAACTTTATTTGTACCCCGCTAGCATCTCCCGAAAGACTCGATGCGGCTTACAAAGGCCAAGGCCTCAACACAACAACAGCATAACAAAACAACTCAAAGCAAAATCAAAAACATAAAGCAATAACAACAAAACATTACACCGTAACACAGTAAAAACTAGGGCCAGGCCAAGTAATGGGTACAGAATTAAAAAGTGCTGGGTGTGACAGGTGGTGTGTTGAATTTCAGGGCAAGTGCAATGTGCAGGCAATCTTAAAACTCTAATAAAGTGCTTCTGGGACATAATGCTGGAGTTTTCCTATTCCAGAAAGGCACATTGGAATAGCCAGGTCTTCAAGCTCTTCCTAAAGACTGCCAACGTGGGTGCTACCTTTTTAGAAAAGCATGTGGTATACAACCAGATATAATTATGCAAGGCAATGGTCTCAGTGGGTAGAATGAATAACCTGTTACCTCTGATCTATTAGGAAAACAGAGATTTGTCAGGGCATAAAACCACCAGAGGTTTAGAGGTATTTTTCAGTGCCATATAGTTAGATAGTTAGATAGATAGTGCCATATAGTTAGATGTCCGACTCTGGGGGGTGGTGATCATCTTCATTTCTAAGCCGAAGAGCTGGCATTGTCCATAGACACCTCCAAGCTCATGTGGCTGGCATGACTGCATGGAGCAAAGTTACCTTTCCACCGAAGCAGTACCTATGGATCTACTCACATTTGTATGTTTTTGAACTGCTAGGTTGGCAGAAGCTGGGAATAACAGCGGGAGCTCATCCCGCTACCCGGATTTGAACCACTAATCTTTCAGTCAGCAAGTTCAGCAGCTCAGCAGTTTAACCTGCTGCGCCACCGGGGTTCACACATATATATATATATATATATATATATTTTCTCCCATAAAACAACTTGTTTTATATCATGCACTCAAGAGACAAAAAATAAAGTAGACATTGATATAAATAACATATTTGTTTACTCACAACCTTCATACAAAGGTACAAAATGTATTAGGCCATATTTGAGACAGTTCCCTGTGCCAGCTAGCCAGGTCATCTCTCTTATAACAAAACAGCTATTAATGAGTCACATTGTCAAAAGGAGAGAGAAGAGCATTTGGTTTACAGCCCCTTCTATAACTTCTCAGGAACCATAGAGTAAAGGAAACTGCATACCAGAACATACACACAAACAGTAAACAACAGGATCATAGATAAATAGATTACTAGAGAAGGCTTGAAAAAGGTTGTCTTGAAAAAGTTCTTACCTCCCATTCTCTCCATAACAGCACCAAGGACTAGCCCCGCACAAGTCTCCATTACAATCATCTTGTTGCCAGCATGGACATTGCCCCAAGTCAGCATCTGTGCTAGAGTATCATATCTCAAATAACTGGAAAAATAAAAGTTTTATTTCACTCTCAGTATGATCTTCCAAATTTTAAGGAACACAATGAGCTATGTAGGGGTTTGATAAGAAAGAACGTACAAAAATAAGTACATCCTTCTGAAGGACCAAGTTGTTCAATAGCAAATTGGTGCCCTCTGAAGGAGAACTGATGAATATAATTAATTTTGACAATTTCAAGGTACAATTTGAAACTACCCATGTTTCTGCCTTATGGAGCACACACTGAAAAAACAAGCAAGGCTTGAAAATATATCTGGTCCTTTTCTGTTAGAAGTAGACTGTAGATTTGCACTGACAGACATAGAGATTCCTAGGAAGCTTGGACAGTATTTTTAAATTGTGCCTCTGACCCCCACAAACGATCTGGCTACCAGTATTTTAAAAACTCTAAAATCAAGACAGTAAATACAGAGCAAGACTCAAAAAGCAGGGGAATTCCAGACAAGAATCAATCAGGGCCAGCTAACACCTCCAAAGGATCCCCAGACAGGAAGCAGCCAGGCTTTGAAGCTGCAAGGCCATTAAATGCTAATCAAGGAGTCCAATTGCAACATTCACACTTGCCTCAAGCAGACAAAGAGTTCTTTCTCCCACCCTGGACTTGCCAAGTTTCCAACAGACCCCTCAACCTCTGAGGATGCCTGCCACAGATGTGAGTGAAAAGTCAGGAGAGAATGCTTCTGGAACATGGCCACACAGCCCAGAGAACTCACAGCAACACAGAAGATTCTAGTTTACATTCTTTCAAAGATGCATTTAGATACCTAAGTTTCTCATATAAATGACATGCAACAAGCCTTACTTGATCTTTCCTGGTTCTCTTGCGTAATACATTGTCGACAGAATACGTGTTGATGGTTTTACAATGGTAATAATTGCTTCATATCTGTAAGCAAAGCACAACTTTTGTTAAAGGCATGGATGACCTGCTTGACTTCAACTACTCCCTGAAATGGCCAAGATTCAACTTACTTTTTTTTCTTTTTCTTGATGTATTTATCCTGGGCAAATTCTGTCTTGTCTCTAAATGTAGTGCTGTTTTCTATCAATTGCTGGACAATTTCCTTCAAGAGAAGACAAATTTATTCGTTTCTTAAATGAATTAAAATTATTTGGAAATATGCTTCACTTTAAAAACATAGAATCATAGAATCAAAGAGTTGGAAGAGACCTCATGGGCCATCCAGTCCAACCCCCTGCCAAGAAGCAGGAATGTTGCATTCAAATCACCCCTGACAGATGGCCATCCAGTCCCTGTTTAAAAGATTCCAAAGAAGGAGCCTCCACCACACTCCGGGGCAGAGAGTTCCACTGCTGAACGGCTCTCACAGTCAGGAAGTTCTTCCTCATTGACTGGAACGGCGATACGGCTGATGACAAGCCAACAAGGAAACATTACTCAATGATAAATAATATAGCTGGTTCATTATCTGAACAGTGGAGCCCCCGGTGGCACAGTGGGTTAAACCCCTGTGCTGGCAGGACTGAAGACTGACAGGTTGCAGGTTCGAATCCAGGGAGACCGCATATGAGCTCCCTCTGTCAGCTCCAGCTCCTCATGCGGGAACATGAAAAAAGCCTACCACAAGGATGGTAAAACATTAAAAAAACCAAAAACATCCGGGCGTCCCCTGGGCAACATCCTTGCAGACGGCCAATTCTCTCACACCAGAAGCAACTTGCAGTTTCTCAAGTCGCTCCTGACAAGACAAAAAAGATTATCTGAACACAGGGAGGAACTCATGGTAACCTAGGGATATGATTCTCTATGAGCTCCAAGAAGACAGATTACATACTTCAAAGCAGCATGTAATCCCAGCAAGGACCAGATATAACAAATTCTTCTAATGATACTTTTCAAGTAACAGCCATACTACTCTGTCTCTGGCCAAAAACCAGGGTAGCATTTATATAGGAACAGAATGATATACTTGTTGGCAAATGTACCCAGGTTCATTCTCTGAATTTTCCATTTAAACCAGTGGTTCCCAACATTTTTTTGACCAGGGACCACTTGACCAGGGACCATTTTGACAAGAGACCACTCTCCAACATTCGTACCAAAAGGGTTAGAAATCAATTTTCGGTCAACTTTAGATTCGGTTTGGTGATTTGGGGTGCTGATTCAGAAAAATGCATTGGATAGACCACATCAGCTCTAGTTTCTGATACAGAACATATGCCATTCAGTAGTCGCCATCTGCTCACCCAAAGAAAACCATATTTAATAAGCCTCGGCACTATACGAGGGTTTCGCAAGACCAGTCGCTCTAGTTGCAACGGTGACGCCGTGGACCATATTTTAGTTCTTGGGGACCACTGGTGGCCCACAGACCGCAGGTTGGGAAACACTGACTTAAACTATGAGATGATGACTGACGGGAAAGGTCCCATCTCTGCCACACAACCATTTGTTGGTTCCTGCCTATTTTTGCCTGAGACTCAGAGAGTCAGTGGTTACCATCCATTGGTCCTGCAGATCTTTTGGACTTCAAATGCTAGAAGTCCGAGAGTCAACTGTTCAAAACACTGGAGGAGACAACATAACCTGGGAACAGGCAGTGTTCTAGGTTCTAAAAATACAGAACTGCACTCATGGAAGAACATGTTTTCTAAATACAATAGACTCTTTTGACATAGGCTGAATCTACACTGATCATTTCATGCAATTTCAAGTCTGTATTGAAGAATGTGGTTTTGCTGTGCAGATGATTGTACAGCAAATCCTGGAATGACTTCGAAGCCCAGATTACGATTACACAAAACCACAGAGCACTGATATTCATTTAGGAGCCTTTTTTTGCATGCTTTTGTGAAAGTTTGCTGTCTGACTGGCACATTTTGAGATTAGCTTTGATCTGTATTAAATGGTCAGTGTAGATAAGCCCATAGTATAGTTTTCGAAGTGATAGTGGATCTCTAAGAATCAGTCAGTGAGTCATAAAATACAGGAGTTTTGGAATATATTATTTCATGAGCTAAACTATGCCTCCTCTTCTCTTTATAATACAATGATACATAGTAGAAGTCTGCTCAGATTGAGGCTGAATATCCCTTACCTGAAATGCTTGGAAACTGAAGTATTTTGGATGTTTTTGGATTTTGGAATATTTGCATTTGCATACATGTACACAATGAGATATATTGGTGAATGGACTCAAATCTAAACATGCATTTCATTTATATGCCATATCCATCATAGGCAGGTAATTCCATACAAAAAAATTGTCAATAATTTTCTGCACAAAACAAAGTTTGGATACGTTGGACTATCAGGTAGCAAAAGTGTCATTATTTCAGTCACCTACAGAGATTATTATTTTGGAGTATTTTAGGATTTTGGATTAAAGATGCTCAACCTGCACTGCAAACTACTCAGATTTAAAACTTGTACAGAGAATTATCAGACAAATCACCATCAAAGAGATGTGGATGACATAAATTTTAGTTACCTGTCCTTTAATGCCTTTATCTTTCAAAGCCTTGATGTCATCATGAGTGAGTTTTTGAGACTTTCCATCATCAACAATATTGCGATTATCTGTACCCGCTTCTTTTGCTTCTGAAAATAGCACATATAGAAGCTTAAAACATTGAAGGAGAAAAGAGAGAATAGCTGGTCCACAAAATAATATTCCTACAGCATTTAAAATCTCAGCTTCCTCCAAATCTTGTAGCTAGAGATTGCCAGTTTGGACACAATGGTAAACTGTAGTGAACTGAAGATTTCCTGGCTTGCTTGTATGTATCACCATAAGGCCAGTGTGGCCCTTAATGAAAATTAGTTTGACAGCCCTGGGCTAAGGCAAGAGAGGAAACCACTAAGGAAGAGATCATCTCCACCAGACAAACAATATCTAGTTCACTTTGTTTGGGAAAGATACCAAAAATATACTGCCTGGACCTCATACAGCTGAACTCTCTGCTTCTCTCCTACCTGTTGCTGTTTCTTCCACCCTCTTTTTTGGTTGGAGGCTCCCACCACTGGTCACTTCAAACGTCGTCCCATAGACCTGCCCAATGGCATTATCCAGGTAGAACCACTGTTTTTCAAAGATGATTTTTCTGGAGATTGGGAGAGAAATAGATGAGCTCCTGAAGGGATGACTATCCAAAATCCCACAAAAAAACAATCAAACCTAAAGCAGACACAACATTATTATTCTGAAGCTCAGATGAAAGCACCAGCAGACCCTGTTACCATTACCTTTTAAGGAATTTCTAGTGCAGGCAACTAGACTCCAAAGCAACACCAAAGTCATGAAAGCAAGAATCAATACCCCTGGCTGAATCACATAATGTATGTGAAGGTTCACTGCTATAAGGAGGGGAACGGTCCTAAAACTTAACATGCTTCCTCAGGAAAACTCAGGGCTCCATTATAACTGTAATAGGGGAAAACTGGATCCACTTCCCTTAATGCCTCCCAAATGCAGGCAGTCCCCAAGTTACAAACAAGATGGGTTCTGTAAGTTTGTTCTTAAGTTGATTTTTTTTGTAAGTTGGAACATTTTTACTTAAACTTTTACATTTTTACTTAACTCTAGATATATATAGATACATATATATATATATATATAGAGAGAGAGAGAGAGAGAAAGAGTATTTGTGTGTGGATCAGAATTAATCCAATATAATTAGATTTTGAACAATGTGGCTTGTTGTGGAAACAAGGATTGGTGCTAAAGCTTCAGTGGAAACACCTTTTTTTCATGATAATAATTCTTTCAGGAGTGAATTCCCCTTCCTAGGGGGAGATTTCTCTCACTTCCTGTTGTTTACCCCCCCCCCCCAAATTCTTAACTAGGAGTCGTTTGTAAGCTGGATGATTGTAAGTTATTATTATTATTATTATTATTATTATTATTAACTTTATATGTACCGTGCTAACATCTCCCGAAGGACTCTGTGCGGCTTACAAAGGCCAAGGCCCTCAATAAAACAACAGCATAACAATACAACAATAAAACTCATAAAGCAAACCAATCAACATTAAAGCAATAACAGTAAAACATTAAAACAATACATCATGACACATCATGACACATTTAAAACTAAGGGCCGGGCCAAATGTAATGAATAAAATTAAAAGTGCTGGACATGGCATATAAGCAGTTTAGGGTAGGTGCAATGTACAGACAATCTTAAATCTCTAATAAAGTGAGTTTGGGACATGATGCTGGGAGTTTCCTATTCTGGAAAGGCACACTGGAACAGCCAGGTCTTCAAGCTCTTCCTAAAGACTGCCAAGGTTGGGGCTTGTCAGTTGAGGATTGCCTGTACCCAGAAGTCCATGATTGCCCATCCTTGCTTTCATTTTCTTTCTAGTATCTGAGGTTAAACATAATAGAATCAGAGTTGGAAGATACCCCAAGGGTGATCCATCTGGTCCAATCCCATCTGCAGAGACATATATCTAAAGCACTCCTAACAGATGGCCATCCAGGTATCTGCAGGGGTTTCCATAATATGATTAGACTTCAGAAGGGCAAACACAATAAATAATTCACTATGCTGGGTATTGTTATTATCATAATTATATCATCGGGTTGCGGTGAGTTTTCTGGGCTGTGTGGCCATGTTCCAGAAGCATTCTCTTCTGACGTTTCACCCACATCAATGGCAAGCATCCTCAGATGCTGTGATGTCATAACACATGACTGCATGGACTGCCGTTACCTTTTCACCAAAGCGGCATCTATTGATCTACTCAAACTGTTAGGTTGGTAGAAGCTGGGGCTAATAGTGGGAGCTCACCCCACTCACTGCATTCGAACCGCCGACCTTTCGGTCAGCAAGTTCCGCAGCTCAG